TCAAAAGATGAGAGCTTGCCTTTTTCCTACAGTTCTTTGGAAGTGTCATGTGTGTTTGTGTGTGTGTTTTGAGAGAAAGTGAATGTGTAGGAATTCTATAGAGTAGAGGAATCCTGCAAATGTAGAAGGGTTCAATTTTATTCACAGCTGCATAATGACTCTTCTTCCTCATTTCTAGTATTTATTTATAGCACACCTTTACCCTCACCATTAGTAGTGGTGAGTTAAATGGCATTGCTAAGTAGTTAATACATAACAGAAAAGGAATAAACTGATATTTCTCACAATGGGTGGGTAGACTTGCAAATAATTCTTAAATAATCTCAAATTATTGAAGGTAATGACCAAGGTTTGTAAGTCATATAGCTCTTCTTAGGGAAGCAAATATACAATTTTATGTAAGATCATCAAACAAAAGACTAGGAAATGTTAATTTTGATTCAAAAACTGAATTATCCATCAGTACCTTCTTTCATCTTCTTTGAAATATAATTCTAAAAAGTGACTATACAAATTTTATACAAATAAAAATTAGGCTGTCCTTTTTTTTCTCTCCCCCAGGCAACTTCCTGAAGATTACAAAGAGCCGTCTTACTTACCTTTTGAAAAATCAGGAAGAGAATTATCTCATTATGAAAGAGTGGATGTTGCGGGAGGCCTCCAACCTTAATGCCCTCCAGGAAGGAGGAACATTTAGGTATAGTGTATAGCAGGGGTGTCAAACTCGATTTCATTGAGGACCTCTTGACAAACAGGGTTGTCAAGAGCATGGGGGCTGAGTGGATGAGGCCGGGGTGGGCATGATTAGCTTGATGTCACTCATGTCGGGGGCCTGTGGTGGCCAGAGTGCTCTGCCAGAGAAAACAGGCTCCCAATCTCTCTTTTCGGCTGCGACAGCCTCCTGCAACCTCTGCCAGTGAAAATGGAGCTTGTGAAGGCCGCACACGGCAGAGGCACCCTTGGGCCAGTCATATTTCTAGGGTGGCCCTGTGGACCAAATCTAAGCATCCCACAGGCCGGGTCCAGCCCCTGGGCCTTGAGTTTGACACTTCTAGTGTATAGATTAAGCATTTAATTCACTTTCTGGAGCCACTTTCNATTATAATTATTATAATTATTATAATTATTATAATTATTATTATTTATTTAATTTGTATGCCGCCCACTCTCAAAGAGACACAGGGCGGCTTACAGTAAAAAAAAGGGGAAGGAAGGACATACAAAAACAAGACGACATTAAAAGATCACAACATTCACAACTGAGGATGCGGCTGGACAAATTCAACAGCCCCAGGCCTGCCGGAATAGCCAGGCAGAATCTGCTGAATTCAACAGCCCCAGGCCTGCCCTTCAGACTTTTGGAATATGTTTCCCCTAACTTTTCCATGATTTGTTTGGAGGCTAACATATTTGTTGGTTTCCCATAATCCTGTCCTTGCCACCCCCTTCCCTGAGACACTTGATTGGCCAAACTGAAAGGAAGCATTTAACTTCAATATTTAGTACAATATCTGCAAATTAATTTAATGAAGGCCCTTACTGTTATATGGTAAAAGATACATTATTGTATTATCCTACCCTTCCCTCTGTTAGATTAAGTGGTTTTCCTCAGAAATGATTAATGGAAATGTAGGTAATAGCTGTGAAATATCATCTGTTGTTTTTAGGGCTGTGGCAGTCTGTGCATATTGATGATCTAAGAACCTCCAAGGATATGATCTCTGATATAACAGCCCTCAGAAACATCACCATCAGCCAGCTGTTTTCTGAAAATACGGGAGAGTCTGCAGAGAATCCTGAAAGTAAGTCCAACTATATGTTTATGTAGTGCTTATTTCCAACAGTTCATAGTAATTCCCATCATCATCTTTAGAGTCAGGCTGCATTCCGATATGAGACTTTCTTTATCATTGTAGCTGCAGGGATGAAAGAAGAAGAAGAAACAGAAGAGAAGATGGAGGTGGAGGTGTCACCAATATCTGAACCAGAAATATTTGTAAGTCTTAATATGCCTCACTAATCTAGTTTGATTGTTTCCCTTTGATCTAAGAGCAAATTATGTTCTTCTTTGTAGCAACTTGCTTTTTTTGTTCAGTGGAATTGATTATAGAAATAACACAACACATGTTTCACATATTTGTATCTAGATATTTATGATTAGCTATCTCTTCTAGCCTTGGGATGGTCCACATATTTTGCTCTATTAGAGTTACATGCGTAATCTGGTATAATTAGAGTAGGATTCCTATTTGTGATCATGCCATAGGGATCACTATTTGTGATCTTTATGATAGCTCCATTAGCTACAGTTTTAGAAGATTATATAGATGGACAATAATGTATGACCTTTCAGTAATGCAAAGGTCTTCTTTTGTGTCTGTTTTCTCTAGAAATAGAAGTTTCTGTAGATGGGTGTCTACCTCCCTAGTTGCTAGTGCTGCATTGTTTTTATTTTACTAAGGTGTTTATCCAAGCAGAATCTTTTTCTTTCTGGATACCTGGATGATTGTTTCTCCCTCTGCTCCCAGGGAGAATCTAGAAGTGAGCATCTTAGAGCACCAGAGCCTTATCTAGCCCTCAACTTCTTTTGGTTTTTTGGGGGGGTGGGGGTGGGGGCTGAAGTTGATGAAAAAAGGCTGACATAATTTCCTCCTGTTGTATAGTAGAAAACAGTAGAGCTTTGTAAAACAATTGAAATAATTGTTCTGATCCCAGGTGGGTGTGATGAAATGCTAGTCTGACCACAAGACAAATGTCCTGGACACCAAATGGCTCTGTTTCAAGCTTTCAATTTGAAAAGGCTGTTTTGCACTTAGAACGTTTCCATTAATAGACAGCACTGTTCTGACAATCTTGGGAAAACCTATTTCAAATTTAGAAGTATTTCATATTATTTTGCACTGCTAGTGAAAAAAAAAAGTGACACGCAAGCCCTAGTAAAGTACAGCATAGTTAAAACAATAAACAAAGTAACAAATACCAAAGAAAATTTCTAGAAACCCTCCTGCATGGAAGGGAAACAATGGTCCTGGACACTTGCATTATTATCTCATACTTTTGAAGTGTGAGACTCAACTATCAAAAGGCTGTCCAGCTCAGTTTAACCAGATGCTCATTCACATCTGATAGCCATAGAGGAAATTATTGTACATTGTCTCAGGATATACTAAAAAAATTTTTTTTTTCCCCTCCTGTGCCTGGAAACTCTAAGATTTTGGATACTACCATTCTCTTGAGGAGTTGTGTTCAAAGTGCTGTCAGCATGCTGAGAGACCACAATGAGGATGCCGGTCGTAGCGCTGAGAGAATTGCAATTCTTCTTAAACTCCTGTCTGAGGAAGATACCCCGCAAGGTATATAATATACGTATGTCCAGAAGGAGTATGATCTTTTGTTAAAGTGAAATATATTGTAATACAAGTTCCTCTTGCTAGAATGCTCAGGTTACTGACTATACAATAAAAAACTGAAATAAAAGATCGGTTTCTGTTTTATACTTTTGAGAATGTATTTGCTCTGTCAGTGATTGTGTTTGACTAGACCCCATAGAAAATCAAAAGATGAGAGCTTGCCTTTTTCCTACAGTTCTTTGGAAGTGTCGTGTGTGTTTGTGTGTGTGTGTGTGTGTTTTGAGAGAAAGTGAATGTGTAGGAATTCTATAGAGTAGAGGAATCCTGCAAATGTAGAAGGGTTCAATTTTATTCACAGCTGCATAATGACTCTTCTTCCTCATTTCTAGTATTTA